CTCGAATATCCGTGACCAACTTGTGCCATGATAAAATATGCGCAAAAGCGGATTTTAAACCAAGGAATGCTGAGAGAAGAGTTCATAGGCAATTATATTCTTTCTCAGCCGGCGTAACAACAGCGGACAACGTTGTAAAGTCAAGGACGGACTGGCTAATTTGCCGCTAAGATGTGCATGCAATAATACCTGATCATCTTGGGAATTCAGCAGTAAAAGAATGACCGATAAAGGAGAGAAGCCCAGTGAGTTAGGAACTAGGTATAATTACGGGTCAGTTATCAGGTAGTGCTATTTGTAAGCTAATATCTACGTAGGATCACAGTCCTGCAAAGTCGTCGCAGTTTTCCGTGTGATGCTATCATTATCAATGAGTCAAGAGACTGCATAAATAAAAAAAATCAAGCTAAGGAACGTACTCTGCATGCATAGCTTCCCACTTTAGGACCTCCCGCCATGCCAATTCGTTATTAGCATTATGAATACGGATGATGTTTTCCATGTCCTTCGGTGACACCTGGTCATCCCGCCAGCGCCAACCCTTGCGGAGCATAGCATTCCAAAACATTTGGGGCGACGGGTAGACCCATCGTTCATCCTCCTTCCCGTCAGCCTTAGGGATGCTTGAAACCTCACGACTCGTAGGAAGAGGAAAAGGTTGGTCTGGACTAGGCTGTTGGTTCTCGGGGGGCATCTTTGACAAAGACAAACCATACTGGATTATTGCCGTGGAACCGAGACACATTAGACGGGTGGATAGCAAACGAGGGTTTACTTGGCGTTTCAATTGTAACAAGGGCCCGAGATAATAAATGTTAAAAAATCTTAAGCTGTCTATTGATTCCGAATGACAGGATTGGGAACATGATTATAGTATTAGTATCGCCAATTCATCTTCTGAATTTTTCAATGGGAATTTTCGCAAAAATATTTAGTATTAGTATTTAGTAAAATATTCCAAGTTGCAGTGGGTCTCATTAAGAGTCTATGAGATGCCTCCGGAAGTTTAATGAGACTTTCAAAGAGAGATGCAACATTAATACGACTTGTAACTTTGACGTCTATTGGATGTTTGACACTCAAATCCAGAAAATGGACACGGACTCAAACCCAGACTCTGGTCAAAAAATATAACGCCCTGTCACGTAGAACAGCAGGCGGTGAATCTGATATTTTGATCTTTAAGGCGGTGCGCCAAAGGAAGAATTTCGGAATCTAGAATTGATAGATATTAGAGCCATATCGGATGGCCCTAATAATATTTTATTGGCAAGCTTTGACGTGAGTCGATGCAATTTTTAGGCGACGTGTGCCCACAAATATGGGGCGAATTTTTTATCTGGGCTAGATATAGCTAGCAAAACCCGATCAAGGAGTCTAGACTACAAAAAATATAAACGCAGAATTTATGCTCAAGTGACCATTATCAATCAGGAGACGGAAATTTCCGTCTCCTTATTGAGTATTTAAATACTCTCCGGTACGAGAAGAATCCTTACCATATTTAAGGGATTTATATCAGGGGTCGCTCCGCCTGCAATGGGACAACCTCCACCTGAACCCTTATATGGACAGCCAGTCTCATCTTTCGGACTATCAGCCGACGAGAAAATTCCCATCGCCAAAACCGAACTTCACGCAGTGGACGGACAACGTCAAACAGATGCAGCCCCTAAACCAACGGTAACGGCCCTTTCAGGCACAGGTTCTTACGGTTCCCTTTCTGCATAGAATGTATGCAGAATCCAAAACTTCTGACTATATTGAAACGTGTCCAAAATAGTTTTTGACTATACCCACTATGTCCGCCAACAGAAATGTACAAATGATCTGGAAAGGATTAGTATTCAGCAATGAACATCACCAGCGAAAAATTAAGATTATGTAATAAACTAAAAGCGGGATGATTTGATGAAAATAAATTCAGTAAATATTAATATATAATAAATATTTGTTTATTTAAGGCCAAAGCGGTCCTTTTATTTTAAAACTAAGTGCTCTAGTAAAAAGAAAAAAAGACAAAGTTAATAATCGCAGCTGCGCGTAAGCGACTGTACGTATACGTATACTTATAACAACAGGAAGAAGCACGATGTTACGCTTAGTAAGATAGTAAGGCAGATCCAATTTACAACGAAACCTTTCATAAAATAATAGTCACTAGGCAGTTAAGAAAACTCGTACATTGGTGGTAGGGCTCAGCAAGCCACCGATATCCAAAAAAAGGCGGAGAAAAACTGCCTAAATAGGTAGTTACATTGATATGGTATGATATGATGCAGCTAGATGGGATCTTGGTGTTGAGGTTTCGGAACGCTTATTGTCAAGTGAAATATTATATAGCTTCATGGCAGTGTGATAAGAGGGGGTCGTCAGGCACAACGGGGTCGATCGAGGTCGCCGAGATGCGACTCACCAGACTGAAGAGACCACCGACAAGTTGGTGAAACCGTAAGAACCCGCAATGCCCATCAACAGCGTCATCGGAAATCACCGCCACGGTTGCAAAATATAGAAGAGTTTGCAGTATTTGGAAATGATGCTTGACTGTGTAGGCGAAAATTTAAACATAATTAGAGATCACTTTTCTATGAATATGTGGGCTTCACTGTTCTGTTAGAGGAACAATTAAGTTCTGCTTCACTTAGGAGCTGACAATTAGGCCTCACGTAGGCAGTCACATAGTCAGTCAGTCAGTATATTTGAGGGAAAAATGGGCTTGCGCCTTTGAACTC